AGTTTTTATGTTCTTGAAAAACACAGTGCAACTGAAACTGTTAAAAATAATACCAGTACTGAGGGCTTTTGAGAAAATAAGGGTTAGGTACCAGGCTTACAAGATAACCTCCTTCATTCATCCAGTATGTTAATATACATGCAACAAAGCATGTTTTTATCAGTAAAATTCTACTTATTTACAAGAAAAGTGCATTAGTCATTCATAACAGCACCAATATTTTGTTCCTTGCCCATCACTGGCATCCATGCTGATCTGTGTGTAAATGAATCCAAACCATTTACAAAAATAAGATATCATTACTTGACCATGTAAATGTGAAGTCATAAAAAAGTGAAATTAGAGAGATGACTGTGTATGTACTAGGAAACATAAAATCTTTACAATAAAGTAAATCTATTTTCAGCATACAGTATAGTGAGATATAATTTGCATCACTTAAATTCTCTCATAATAAACTGTGGCCCTGTCAAATATAATTCAGATCTTGATTCAGTTAATACAGTATAATCAGAAGTGTTATTACAGGTAAAAATACAGATTGAAGTACTGTATAGAAGAACAGCACAGTATTTACCAGGAGGGGTAATTGTTGGGGAAGATCTACCAGGCAAGTTTACAGTAGTCGCTGTTGGATTTGCTGTCGCTGTTGTCATTGAGGGATTTGTAACTGGTAATACCTCTTCTCCCTCTTCAGCATCTTCCACCTGTACAAGCAAAAAATTAAGATTAGAGCATCCAACCTTTTACCTGATCCTTCTCCATAATACATATTCTATTGTCAAATATGTACAGTGCAGTACTGTACAGTATTACGAATTAGTAATATCTCTGTTCGCCAGAATGCCTCGTAGCCGAAACTCTCCAATAGCTGAAATTGAAATTTACTCTGAATTTTTCTGGAAATCTCAATTGTGGGTTTGAGGACGATTTTCCGAGGTTGAAAATCAAGCAGATTTTCTGGAAAATTCTGAGAAAATTTTCCAGAAACTCTCATGAAATCTCTCCAATCTGGGCCTGGGAATAAATTTTCAAGGAGTTCCGAGAAATTGCATCACGCTCCAACACATCCCCACGTGCTAGGCGTGTGGGTGGTCTAGCTGCTTGGATCACTTACCAGGTAGTTCATTTACTGTTGCCATTGTAGAAGGTTGTTCCATCACTAGCTAACAGGAATTCTGGCTAAAGAAAATATTGCTATTGTAATGATTTTTCCATGACTTTATTGTTTTAATACTGTACATGTAACAATAAATGAGGCAGCTGGGCTGGCAAGTTGGCAATGCAGTTACAGCCCACTGTCTCCACACACATTCACTTCCTATAGATACACACCGATGCTCTTCATTTTTCTTATTTTATAGTTTTATATTATATTTTCTTTATTTCTATATCACATCATTTATATAGTGTGGAACAAGTGCTAAAGAAGTCCACTTTCCCGTAAATACCTGTACAGTACCGGTACATGCATTTTCATGAGCATTTATACAGTGGTATTTCAAAATAATGTTTTTTTTTTTTCAAATGAGCGTGGACAAACATGGATTTGTGGAAAAATGGACTTCTGAGACACGAATTTGCAAGGTCAGCCTGTGTTTTGTAGAATTTATTGGGGATCCTACAAGAAAGGTTCAACTAACTGGAAATCCCTTTAACCTCTCTCAATCCCCATAGGTGCTACATAACTGGGATTCTACTCAACTATTGTACAGTACTGTACAATATTGCTTGAATAATCTTTCGGCAACTTTACATAAGTTCTTTGTTTGGTTAAGATGTTCTCAAGCAACTCTAACGCCTTCCATTAGTTATTCTATATAAATGTTTGCATTAAAATATTTTTCCTAGGCATTAAGCTATTAGAACTCATCAATAAAATGAAAAATCAATAATTTATAAAATTTCAACAAATACATTCTGTACAACTTTGAATGGATACCTTACCTGCTTGTTGACTCATCAATAAAACGGGTGGATACTCAAAACACCTCGTAAGTTGCAGATTTGACGATCTTGTAATCGAAATACTGTACAGGATTTACACTTACAACCTGCTAACAATATTGTAATCAAAACTATTTTGCAATGTTGTTAGGTCACTGGGCCTCGAATGTAAACACTGTAGAGTGAGTCTTCCTGTAAGCCAGTTGGCCAATCACAATTATGCTTTCAAAACATAATGACCAATCTCAATCACAAGTTAATGATATCAGCTGGCTTGAGGGCACGAGAATTAAAAACAAAAGAAGTTTAAGAAACTGAAGATGGAACGTCCAACTCTCAAAAGACAGCAAAATTTTTCAGATGAAGAGGTCTTAGCTATGATGGAAGAGGTTAAAAGCAGATGGAAGTTTTCTTGGGGAAATTGGTAAAACAAAACACTGCCAATGTGAAAAATATACCTTAAGACTCGGTTGTAAGTGTGGTGAATTTTGTGGCTCGAGTACCAAAAGAGGTTGAAGTTCGGAGAAAGTTCACCGATTTAGGATATCTGTCAAGAAAAAACCTGCTCAAGGTTTTATTTACATTTCTTACACATTTTCCACAATCAAAACAAAAGTATTACTGTAGACAGTATAACCTCAGATATCTGGCATTTAACCATCCAGAACTCTCAAGCAACCAGTAAGTAATGTCTAATCACATTTAATCAAGAAAATCTATTTGAATTTGGCACCACTTTGCCCGTGGTTCCATTTCTGGCCACTACAGGCAGTATGTGCATCCTCCATGTAAGTGTCGGTGTAACTATTGCCTCATCCTTCCAGCATGTCCTTTTATTCCTTTTATAATATATTTAATATGTCCTTTAATTCTTTTTATAATATCTACTATGACGATGTACTTGAGTTTGAGATGAGTATTTATAAGACTATCTCAAGCATCCGGAAAAAACGATTCCGGATATCTGAGGTCTTACTGTATGTCACACAAAGATTACATTTAATTATTAATAGAAAATAGAGTACAATTTACAATAAAAAAATTTCATAATGATTCAAGAAACTAGTACTGCAACACAATTTATAATACAAGTTATTCTGAAAAATACAAATAATAATAACAGTTGGATGAGTCAGTAAAGTGTATAACTTCTTTGTTCTTTGCCTTAAAAAAGTGTCTGATTCATTGCATAGCTCCAAAATTTTATTCTGAGGAAATATGCAGTACCTCAACAATTGTTCATCACTTAGGTAAAGAGGGTCCAAAACGTCTTGGTACCTCCTTCCTCGTCGCAAAGCTTGATTGTTAAAATAAACATAGATCAACTCCACCTTGCCTGCAAAACATAAACAAACATACGATGTTTAAGATAACTTTTAACCAACTAGATTTTATCTTTTAATATTAGTTTCCACTGAAATAATACCTGAAACCTATTTTCTACACCATTACCCTGTATCTGATAAAACAGCTTTAATGAGGTTTATCATTGCTTGGAAGGCATGTACAAGAGCTCCGAAGGTCCTGTAAGTTATGGCCTCTGATACAATATGTGACATCACAAGATGGTGATTATTTTGTTTAGAGTATCACTACAGGATCGACTTACAGAATCAGTTGGGAGATACCCCTGTACAATATTGTAAATCCCTTTGAGTTTCTGGTCCCAGAACTGTATCTGGTTTGCCACATGTCAATTAATGAGGAACATGAACTGAAGATTCCAAAACAATATGGAAATATAACACCTTGAAACATTCAGTGAGAGATCTTGAAGCAAAGCCTAGAACTCTCCATAAACTTTGTTCACTGGCTTAACGTCACATTATACAGCACATGGAAAGTAGGTACGTATAGAACTGCTGTCATTTATTTATATTTTACTTCTGGTCATTGATAAGTCACGGAAACAAAAAAAATCAAACACATGCAGAGGATAATGAGGTACACTTACCATGAAATTATTCAGCAAAAAGAAAATGGTACTGAAACTTACTGTATGTGTAACATCTGATAGGTGGCCACCCCTCCCCCTTGCCGAATCCATACGTGGCCCCAGCAGCAGGTTTTCTGCCGTGTTCCACACAGATGACATTTTCTAAAGAAAATTTAAAATTAATGTAAAGGGGTAAGAATTTTCAAACACCATGTGTTAAATACAAGAAATTGGAATTCTACAAATATCTGAACAGCAAAAAACCTGGATTGGGTTCCAGTTTTATAAACACTGTACAGTAAACACAAATACTGTACTATACACAAATGGTGACTTCAGAAGATTAGGGAGATGGTCCTACAGTGCTCGAGACATTACCCTTTGGCTCATTATGATTTTCTGGAGGTACATAATATATACAGTGTACAGTAATCTACACTGCCTATTTAGCCTGTTTGGAACATCCAAATGACCCAACCAGAGTGGTCAAATAATTTACTTATACGTCAGCTTGGTACTGTCTTGTACTCAATGGCTGTGTGCACAATTCTCTTGAGATGGTTTTGACAATCCCAGCAGTATGGCACATTGATTCAAATAACAATTCAGTACTGTATTCATAGGATGTGACCACAACCAAAGCTAGGTGATCTATGTATAAAGATGCTCATCACAGAATGATTATGAATTATTACCTATTTGCAATCAGGTTGGATGCAACAGGACTAAATAAATTCCATCAGCAGACAAAATCAGTTAAACAAACCTAACCTCAAAACCTGTAAACAATTTCTGATAGAGATCCGTCACCAGGGTTTTCAATGGGGGATTAGTTGTTATTTTCATGGTAGGTTTTAGGAGTGATAATATATGTACTTATTGTACAGCATCGACATTTATACACAGTAAAACACTGAATACAGTATCTTATCCCTAATTAACACTCTTTGGATGTTCATACACTAAATTGTGTATGATCTAAATTATTGCTTTATGGTTTTCATACAACAATTTGCGTATGAAGTAAAAAAATGTAAATAATTTTTTTTTTTTTATGTATGAACGGTAGACACACGACACAAATTTGATAATTTTTTAGTTATTTTAACTTTAATTTTATAATATTTGGCCAATCAGAGTTAATGATGATGTGATGTCATAGTTGTGCGCACCAATCAGCGCGAGTGCCGATGTGACGTAATACTCGAGCGCCAGTTAGAGCAAGTGTCGATTCAAAAACCCTTGAATTGGTGATGGGAACGAAGGCGGTGACGAAACGGTTAAAAAAATGGTGGAGACGAAATGGGTAAAAAATGTGGTGACGAAACGGGCTGATGACAAAATGGGCACACCCCGTTTTGAACAATGACACAACAGCCTTTGACTTTTTAGGGCTTACAGTGTTCTTGTTTCATCTGTAAAGTGTCCAAGATGTTATTCAGTGTCAATACCGTGTAGATCAACATGCATGGTACCGTGGTAAGGGACGGACACTGATGAAGATACCACTTCCTCAAGTCGCCTCACTCTATCCTCCTGTATCTCATATTTACGGTAAGTTTCCTACGCACTAGCCGTTAGGGTGTTATTTTTTTTTAGATTTTTTAAGTTTTTACCTTCCACATTTTGTTCAATATATCAAGTACAGTACTGCTCATTTCCGATCGAAAAGCTCATATTTGTATTTAACACGATGAGTTACACTATATGAACCCATTTTCAAAAGTATGTTAGGTGGTGACAACTACTGTTCTAAATATTTACTTTTATTTATCTGTGCATGAAAACTTATCATTAAAGAAGAGGCAACATTTACTAGAACCTAATAGAACCTGACCAAACCAACCAAATAAACCTACCTAACCTTACCTAACTTCCTACTCAGGTTGCGGACCTCCCGTCTTATTAAACAGAAAGTTCTTAGCCAATCAAAACGAATTCACAGTAAATTAGCATTAGTAGGAACTTAGCGGGTCACAGCAAAATATCCACTATGAAAAAAGGTAATATTGCAGTTTACAGCAACCACCGAATTCCGGAAATTCACTACACTCAATCAATAGAACTATTTTTTCTATGATAATTTTCTTATAATACACTTCTGTTGCAAATTAATAATAAGGAAATTAATTAATTTAAAAAATAATAAAATAAGAGCACCTTTTGCCCCTACGCTGTTGCTCAAATTGTGTGTGTTCGTACGTTCGCATTTGCCGGGGAGCAGCTGCCATAGAAATCATGGGTGGCCGCTGCCAATCAAATATCGGGGGGCGGCACCCTATCAAATCCAATAAAAAATCTCAACTTTTGATTCAACCAATTAGTGTTCAATATTCGGGTTGGGTGGTAGGATGCGAGACATTTTTAATCAGTTACAACATAGAGCCATTGTGTGCTGGGTGCGATTTCGATTATTGGAAGTTTATTGTATTATTTCATTCTAAAAATAAGGAAACTTTAGAGAACTGAGGAACCCACGACTCATTCTGGTCCCTGACTCAGACTCTGACCCTGACGCGGTGTAAGGTAAGAAATACTGTAACGGCTATTCTCATGGAGGCTGACCACACGACCCTAGTGTTATTACATTGTGTTTGGGGGTCCGGGGGCGAAGCCTCCTGCTAGGATCACCAGGGTCCTGTTCTGACCCCGGTAGGGGGTTAGGTAAAGTTTAGTTTGGTTATATGGTATAAGTTAGCAAGCACAGTGTACAGGGAATTCAGAACATGCAATCGATTGAACTATTGTGAGGAGGGGAGGGCTGAATTCAAAATGAGTGATTTCCAATAAAAGCGAATGTCAGGTTTGAACCAATTGCATCAAAAACCATTAGAAAAACACTGGATGTTTTTATCAGACAGCCGACAACCAGACAAACTTACCTTTTGTCAATAACAATATACACATATATAGGTATGACTGTATGATGTATATATACATCTGTAGGTCCAGGTGCCTTCAGTAAGTCTTCCTGCAGGAGCTCACCATCATACTCTGTGTTTGTTTACATTGCGTAGGCTTTAAACTCCTGCCGATCTTAAGTTGGGCACACGCTGACCTTTAAATTATTGTAAAACTCCATTAAATCTCTTCGTCCCAACTAGCGGTTCAGTGAGCTTATATGGCAGAGTTTACAGGGAAATCTTACAGAAATTCTACGGGGACATCTATTTAGTATGTGGCTTTTTCTGATACGTAAATTAGAACTAGATTCAACAGCATCTACACGTAGTCCCAAGGAGCTTTAACTCTTATTAGATCTCCCTGCTAAGGTACCGTGTTCATTTACATAATGGAGCCTATAAACTCCTGTCCGGTTTTAAAGATGGGTGAAGATGAGTTGTTGCAGCCTTTTCGAATAAATTTATCATGACACAAGTTTCATTAAAGCTACAGCTGAAATCAATAGGAACACGTGTAATATGCCTCCTGAGTCCTGTAGGCTGTGGAAAATTAAATATTTAAAGAACGACAATACAGGTGTATTTTTATTCAACTTTCTAATGTATACCATAATCAAGGAATATCTAATATAAAAGTGTAACTCTCCCTTATAACCATTATTTTTAAAGTATTACCGTGGCTCTACCTGATGGCAGAATGACTAACTGTTAAAAGAAAACGATACTAGTTAGAGCATAATCTATACTGTTTATTAAATTTTTTTTTATTAAAGCGAAATTATTATTCTGAAGATTCAATTACGTACATAAGCAAACGACAAGTGGTGACAGTGTACAGGCTTACCATATGTCCCAACGGAACGAAGAAACTGCATTAATTGAGACTGAATGTGAAAAGGACCTAGGTGTGTATGATGGCAATTAGCTAAAGTTCTCGGGCCATTGCGAGAAGAAGGTAAATCGGACAACTAAATTATTAGGTCTTATAAGAAGGTCGTTCAGATATCTAGACGGTCCGTCCCTCGTAACGATCTTCAAGAGTGAAGTGCTTCCCCATCTGGAGTACTGTCACCCCAGACTGGTGCCTACACTACGGTGCTACCTCGGTTACCCTGAGAGACTGGAGAGCCTGAACTTACCTAGCTTATACAACAGACGGGCGAGGTGAGGCCTAATTGAGGTGTATAAGCATCTCAAAGGGCACTACTCAGTCGAGTGCCCTTACCTGGAGCTGGCGGACGCTCGCCCCACAAGGGGTTGTAGTGGACGTCTCCCCTACAACTGCTTACAACTGCGTAGCCACAGCTACCACCTGTTACCGCATTCCGACGTGCCGTCGCCTAGCAACCAAGCGAGAGCTGTCCCCAGATGGTACGGTTGCCTAGCAACGAAACTACTCACCGGCAACTTTCTGGGTTTTCCCAACATGATTCATAGAGGACTGGCGGCTGCTGCTGGGTATATAAGCTCTGTCTCTCCATTGAGATTCATTTTGCCCATCTTCCTGAACAAGCAACACCTCCTCCAGCAAGCTCCACGCTGTTAACATTTATTTCAACCAGGAGGCCAGCAACAGGCAGCATCTTCTCTGACGAAGCTCCTGCACATCTACCTCCTTCAACACGCTACTCACCTAACGTCTTCTACTGAGCAACTCCCCACCACACGGCATCTCCAGCACCAGACTGTCTATCATATAACTTATATATTATACAAGAAAACCACATTAGAGTTTCCTTCCATCCTGAGTGCTAGACAATATTAATATCTCGATACCCCTACAGGGTCACAGCTCAAAGTTGAAGAGGCCGCAAGCCCAGAAAACTGTGAGTGGTAACTTTTTCGGAGTGAGAGTTGTGAACTCTTGGAACAATCTGCCAGAGTGTTGTGACCGCACCGAGTGTGAGCTCTTTCAAGACCAGACTTGACAAGCACTGGAGCAGGTTCAGATACATTCAGGAGCTTGTGCATGCCCAGTACTTGCCAACAGTGCGTAACAAAGGCTTAACCGATCGCCCAAGCGGCCAACGAGCCGATCAGTAGTGAAGAGGATAAAAAACAACACCAACAACAACAACAACGAACGTTACTAGGTATCGCTATTAGGCTTAATTTGCATATGCTAATCATAGCAAGTTATACTTCATTATTAAATTTCCCTTGACTGTATCCAATTGCAAGAACAGTCGTTGGGTGTACGACGCCGTTTACGATGACCTTCTTGCCCTGATCTTGTTTCAGGAATACCACCCTTTTGAAGCTCTGGAGAGATCTCGAAGTTTCGATATTTTGAGTACAGCACTAGCTAATAATTCCCACCAGGAAACTTGTTTCGAGACTCCTCCAAAGCTTCGAAAAGTGCAGAATCCCATGTGTTAAAGGCGATATTGCTGAAAAAGATCAGGGCAAGAAGGTCATCGTAAATGGCGTCGTACACCCCATAACCGTTCTTGCACTTGGAATCAAGAACTTTAGGAAAGCACATTAGCTGCACCTTAACTCTTGATAAGTATTGGCGATTGAGTCACAAGCATCTTAGAATAGAGGTTTCTAATATTATACATTTTCATGATTTGAGATGAAGAGTTTTGAAACATTTATCTTCAGTAAAAAAATAAAATATAAATTAAGAATTTCATTTAAATAAGGGTACCACAGGTCATCTTTGTTTTCTTTGAATAACAAAGAGAGAAAACTAGAAAAGGCTAACCCTTGTAAATGTAAACTATAGAGCTAGTGAAAAGTTAGCTGTCATTGCCACAACTAAATAAACGTTTCCAACGGTTATGAAATCATAATTATTGATTTAATTTGTCTCAACAGCTATACAACGTACATGTAAATATTCCCACATCACCACTGTCGCTGTATCTAGGGAGACAACTCTGTGGAAACGAGCCCCCCCCCCCACTCTCTCTTAGCCCATGTATCTGTTAGTCAGCCTCTGTTTCTCTCTGTCTGTCTGACACTATATGTCTGTCTCACATATTTTCCCTATGTATCAGTCTTTTTCTGTCTGTTACTTGCGACTGGGAAAGTTGTAATTACTTATCTTTCTCTCTCTGTCTACTTGTCTTTCTCTACGTCTTTCTCTCTCTCCGCCTGTTTCTCTCTCTGTCCGTGTAGCTGTTATTTAATCTTTTTCTCTGCTTCTGTCTCTCTCTTACCCTTTCCGTTCTAGTTTCTCTCTCTATTTTTAATCGCTCTGCCTCTGTTTTTTCTGTCTGTCTGTCTATCTTTCTATGTCTGTCATTCTCTCTCTGTCTCTGTTCTCTGCGCCTGGGAGCGCCTTACTGAGCGTATTCTCTCTCTCTCTCTCTCTCTCTCTCTCTCTCTCTCTCTCTCTCTCTCTCTCTCTAACCTGTGTCTAGGGGAGTTTTGTTTGGCATAATGTCTCAGTTTTATTCTTCTACTCCTGAAACTCCATTTCTCGCTCCGCTGCATCTCAGCTTTGGAGTGTTGTGGTAAAATGCACGCCTGCCTCCAGCTTGTGTGGGTGTGTGTTTAACAACAACGACAATACTACTACTACTACTCTTACTATCGCACTACTAATAATAATTAACGGTTTAGAAAGAACATGTTTGCCAAGGGGCTGAAAAGATACAGTCAACAGAGATGATAAAATTTTCATATTTAGGGAATGAGTCACTTGATTGACAAATATTCTAGTGACAAAAGTAGTACAAATATAACATATAATGACATGGGGAAGAGGGTCATTTAACAAGGAATTTCAGCACAGTTACAGTGCAAAAGTAAAACTGGCAGGGAGTGTGTATGTGTGTGTGTGTGTGTGTGTGTGTGTGTGTGTGTGTGTGTGTGTGTGTATGTGTGTGTGTGCACGTGTGTGTGTGTATATGTGTAAACATGTGCGCGTAAAGCCACTCAGTAAAACCATGTCTTTCTTCCTATGAGCTTTACAAACACGAATAAATATATACACACAATAATATGAAGTAAAGAGAAACAGTCTTAGAAAGTGACAAGTAAGAAAATAATTAGACACACACAAAGGGCCGTAGTAGATATAGAGAAAGAACCAACAGGATAAACCGAAGATGGAAATATAAATTTATGAGGAAAAAGCACAGAAGGAAATATGGGGAAAGAAAAGGAGGGAAAACATGAACAGAAAATAATGAAAAACTCGAGAAAAAAGGGAAATTTGTTTATAAAGAAAGGGGAAGATAACAACGATTAAGAGAAGACAATGTTGGAGGGTCATGGGAAACTGGTGAGGAGAGAGGTGTGTTGAGTGGGGAGGAGGTGGAGAGGAGAGGTGTGTTGAGTGAGGTGGGAGGAGAGGTGTGTTGAGTGAGGGGGAGGAGGTGGGGAGAGGAGGTGTGTGTGAGGTGGGGGGAGGAGGTGAGGAGAGGTGTGAGTTGGAGTGTGGAGGGAGGTGGAGAGAGGAGAGGAGTGTGGGGAGGGGGAGGTGGGGAGAGGAGGTGTGTGTTGAGTGGGGAGGAGGTGGGGAGGGAGAGGTGTTGGAGGGGGAGGAGGTGAGAGAGAGGTGTGTTGAGGGGGAGGAGGTGGGAGAGGAGAGGTGTGTTGAGGGGAGGAGGTGAGAGGAGAGGTGTGTGTTGAGGTGGAGGAGGAGGTGGAGAGGAGAGGTGTGTTGAGTGGGAGGGAGGTGTGTGAGTGGGGAGGAGGTGAGAGGAGGAGGTGTGTGTTGAGTGGGGAGGAGGGAGAGGAGAGTGGAGGGGGAGGAGGTGGGGAGGGGAGGGAGGGGAGGAGAGAGAGGTGTGTAGGGGAGGAGGGGAGGAGGTGGAGAGGAGAGGTGGAGGGGAGGAGAGGTGTGTTGGAGGGGAGGAGGTGGAGAGGAGAGGTGTGTTGAGTGGGGAGGAGGGAGAGGAGGTGTGGTGTTGAGGGGAGGAGGTGGAGAGGAGAGGGTGTTGAGTGGGGAGGAGGGAGGAGAGGGAGAGGTGTGTTGAGTGGGAAGGGTGGAGAGGGGAGGGTGTTGGTGGGGAGGAGGTGGGGAGGGGGAGGTGTGTTGAGGGGGGAGATGGGGAGGAGAGTGTGTTGAGTGGGGAGGAGGTGGGGAGGAGGGGAGAGAGAGATGTGTTGTGTTGAGGGGAGGAGGTGGAGAGGAGAGTTGAGTGGGGAGGAGGTGGGGAGGAGGTGGAGTGAGGTGGAGGAGAGGTGTGTTGAGTGGGGAGGAGGTGGAGAGGTGTGTTGAGTGGGGAGGAGAGGTTGTGTTGAGTGGGGAGGAGGTGGGGAGAAGAGATTTGTTGAGTGGAGAGGAGGTGGAGAGGTGTGTTGAGTGGGGAGCAGCTGGAGAAGAAAGGTGTGTTGAGCAGAAAGGAGCTGTGTGTTGTGAAGCCT